GGGAGAGAATTGAAAAATATATCATAAGACTCCCCATTTATACCACCTTAGTGCCAAAATTTTTTGCAGTCATGGCTAGTATGACATCATAATGGAATAAATAAACGGCTACGGTAGCTCGCGTAATAGTGCAATCACGGACAGTCTAAAATAACGCCTTTCTTATGCATTTTCCACCCTGTGTAATGTACGCACCGCAGGTTGTAGTATATTGGCATCACTCGAGACTTCTGAACCCGAAATATACCCAAAGAATGTGCTGGCGTGGGAAATACGGCGGGAATCAGGGTCGAAACTTTCCCAAAAAAGACTTCCTGAAGGACTGGCTGTTCTAAAGATGGTCTGGTTGAAGGATTCTTAGTTCCGGGAATCCCCTGTGAGTTTTGTGCCCCATTCGCCCCCTTTGAATGGAAAATGAGGACATTTTGAGGTTGAGCGAAGTTCACGGCCGCATTAATACCATAATCGCTTGTCGCATGCGGCAGCTATTCATGGCGCGGAGCACGTTGCGCGTGCGAGCCCACGAAATCCACCAGCCAATTAGCGTTTTTCCCGGCGACGTGCGCTGGTTGACGCACACACGCGTGCGCTTTCGCGTAGAATTCGACCATTTTCTAGTTCGTATAATTGTACGTGAAGTTTTTCTCGCCGGCTGTTTCGCTGAATTGCGTCGCCGTGCGTGTCGTCGTCACCATCGCAATTCCCCGCCCGGGCTGGATTGAGCGAAACTATGGGAAGGATTTGCTCACCTTGTCACAGAACACTTTGATCTGGCAATAGCCCCGATGGAAGGGTTGTTTGTCGTTGTCGCCATCGTAGGTGTCGATCTGGACGTGGAGCGGAAGACCCTTGACACCCTTCTGATTCGAGAAATCCGTCGAGAGGCATTGCGTGGCGATGCTGATCTGAAAAGCAGAAGATTTCAGTTGAGTGGGTCCAAAGCACTTCAAGTCACGAACTCCTCATGTGGGTCCCCGTGGGTGATGCGTCATGGGGCAGAACCGGCAGCGACGGCGACAGGGGCAGGTAGCCTTGAATGAATGATATCGATTGACTAATCGCCGAAAACTGCGCTCTCTCACCTGCCGACTGTCAATACCGATCGCGGGGGAAGAGAGACATGCACGAGGTGGAGGAGAGGGGGGGGGTTGTCCCTCTAGAGTGTCTTGCTTGAACAAACTTAAACGAGCTCGCCAAATCTCAGAGGTACGATTTGGTGTCGAATGACCAGACACGCGAGGGAAGGGCAGGACAAGAGGCTTTTGGACTTTAAGATTTACATAAGGGTTTTGACGGTTAGTATCGAGCGTGGAGGTTTCTACGTTGGATCTGGGTAAGCTTGGAAATCCAAAACCACATGAATAGCTCCCGAATCCTTCAAAGGATTGCTCTGGTACCCACAGATGGATTGAGCTTTCCTTATCATCCTCCTTTGAAAACGTTGACATCTTTGGAGCCCCTTTTCATAGGGACATTCCTTGAAGGGAGGGGAGGAAGGGTTACAGGCGGTACTTAGAACTATTTTTCAACAGCTCTTGAGGGGAGCAAGTAGATTCTCCAAAAAATTTGCTGTCTCCAGAGCCTCTTCGTACCTTCCTGGGACAACAAATGGGTTCCTCAGACCTCCGCACTTCTAATCTGGGCACGAAATGTCAATAAAAACAGTTCTCACACACGAAAAATCCCTCAAAAAAGGTGCTTTGAAGGTGCTGCAATCATTTCATTGAAAACTAAAATTCACAGAAAAGGCGCATTTTTCGGATTCATTTTGGAGACCCGTTTTATCACAGCGAATTACTGCACAGAATCAATAGTATCATCGAAAAAGATTCATAAATTAAGTTGACAGAATGTCTGCGAACAATCGATTTCACAAAGTGAAACAGAGAATTTTCTGAGGTTTTGACACTGGGCTTTCAAAAGGTGTAATTAATGGGTGGAAAAGAGTATTGCAGTAATCACAGAGCACGTCTAAAGCCCTTAAGGGCCTGTAAAAATGTTTTTTGGGAAGACTGTCCATCACAGACAGAGAATATGTTATCAAATTACTAGAAATAATAAATAAATTAATTACTGTGAGAAATATCCAACTGAGAACTGAGAAATTTATTTTTCAGTCTGGTTGCGCAATGATGGGGTCTTGTTTGGGAACTGAATAGGTTCAACAAAGTTTACAAGCAAATCCTAGGGATGACTCATTGTCGGCTTAGGCCGACCGGTAGCGACTCAGAAAGATTGACAAGTATTGATTGGTTCCTTCAGAAAATCAGCAAAATCTCAAAGAATCAAAATGACAGCCGGCTCAACAGGGGGTCCAGCCCTCCCTGACACTTTTCTAGGTACCGTGACTGATTAAGTGAACCCAAAGAGAGAGGCATACCTACCTTAACACCGTTTTCGGACGGATTCCAGTAGAATTGAACGGCATTATGGGCGATTTCCTCGATTTGGCCGATCATACCGGAGCTGTTTTTGCTGTCAACTTCAAGTATTCGTTGTTTGGCAGAATGTTGACGGCTATGCCAAAATTGCCACGTCTTAATCTCCTCTTCATAGGTCTTGTCTTCTCGAAATACGATCATTAATTGACTCTGAAACGAGAGAAAACTCATTTGTGGGATTTTAACCTTCGCGGTGGGCCTCCGCGTATGACCTCCACACTTGCGCTACGCAAATTCACCCCGATTGAAAGTGAAATGAAATTCGCCGCGGTCGCACTCATGCAATGGGACCATAACAGCCACTGTGTGTGAGATGGTGGTGGCCTGATTCAGATGTTGTTGTCTGTGCGTGCATGTGTGTGTGTATGCGTTCCAAAACGCACTGTAGCGCACAATTGCCGCTCCTCGGTCGCGCTATAGCGAACCACCAGCTACAGTACCCCTAGGCTACTGTAGGACGAAGCCAGCCAGCAACAGGCGATGGCTGCAGTTAGTGTCAGAACGGACATAATCGACGTCAGGCTATTGCATAAACAACCACCTCTCACCTTTCAACTTGGGTACGCAAGAACCGCGAGTACGATGCTTACCTTAACGGTGACGCTCTTCAGGGGTTTGTTGATATCAGGGATATAATCCAGAGATACGGTGTAGAATTGGCCTTTGTTGACGTACGTCATTCGGTCATCTTCTTTTCGTACTGAAGTCGAGATAGGGGCCTCCAGTACATATTGAAAACCTAGCGGGTTATGTCTGAAAATATACACAATTGAAAAAAGTTGAGTCAAACAGGTCCTACCCGTCTGGCTACCTCTCTGGTCAAACCCAGCTCGGGAGCCAGCAAGGCAGGCAGACACCAGTGAAGTTGTTATCGGATCGCGCTAAGCTCCAGCCGGTTGCGCTATTGACTTGAATTCACCTCGCTTATGCAAAACATGCGCATTGATCGATTCGCAGTGTTCAGTGTTACCGAGGCAATCGGCCAGGGAGGGTTATAGAGCCGGATCGAGCGCGAGCAGTCACAATTGAATTGTCTTTTATTGAACATTTTGCGGTATATATTAGCAAAATGGCTTCGCACAAAACATAAGATACGAATCGATCAATTCGGAGACGATTTTCGGCGAAAAAGCTAATAAAGAAAAATTTTAAGAGCAGACTTTTGCCACCGTAATCCGTTCGCTGACTCATTCGATGAGAGCAGGGCCCGTGCTGTTCTTCGGAAAATTTCCGGATATTTCTGATTGGAAAGCGTCCGTAACGATTACGGTGGCAATTTCTACTGCCTAGTTAAAATGTATGGGTAATGTTTTTATGCTTACAATTTCGGTATCACTACCGGCGAATCTCGATGACTTAGCGCTCGTTCGGCGGATCGATCGAGCATCGTTTCGGTTTGAAAGAACTCCTCCTTGGCGCCGGTGATCATCGACAAATCGGCTCCAATGCCTGAATCCACCGGACTTGGCATATCGACGCCTTTGTAGACGGTTCGTTGCTCTTGAGCAGCCGTCGTCGTACCGCTAGCGTCTTGCGGATTGTACTGCAATGTGGTGGCTCGGGGATAGGCCGTATAGGTGTCCATAGGCCGGCCCCAGTCCTGTTGTACAACACCGTTCGGGAAACCATAGTAGAGTTGACCTGCCGTTGATGGTGCCGGTATTAGTGAGGACTGATTATGCCCGCCGAGACCGATTGCTGCATATTCGTAGGCTCGCTGATAGTTCGTATTGTAGTAATTCAGGTCGATCGGTTGCATTTTCGACAGATCCTGCAGGTTGGATTGCGTCAACGGTGCCAGATCGATTGGTTCATTCTGAAAAGTAGGGTTCAAAGTTGGGAAACGGGAAGGAGCCTGGGGACCTACCTTGGGCGAGAATTCGAGCTGACGGCCCGGTGGTGCCGTCTTGATCACGGACGATTGTTCGAGTTGGAATTGTGACATGGTAGCGACGACGTTCGAGTCGAAGCCAAGCTTCATTCCACACCCAACCACACCCCGTCGTTCACTCTTGAGCGTACCGTAAGCGAGGCGATGCGCTTGCTTGGTTGCTCCTGCTTTTGCACTTGGAGATTTCGCTGAAACTTGAAATTCCATGTGGGAGCTAATGGGAAAATCAGTAAAAACTTAACGGTAATCGATTGATCAACAACGAACGGCCTTGACTTCTCACTGGACAGGGAAATGACTCTAAAATGGTTGGCAACAACAAATTATTTGAGCAAAACCTTGGCAGAAACAAGGGGATGGTGTGAAGCAGCTGGAATTTTTTGAATGGAGCAGATCAAATTGTAAATGAGCCCCGAGTACGCTCTGGCTGTAAATATGAAATTCCAGAGATAAATAATAGCAGCAGTAAGATCTAGAAAAATTGACAGCAAGGCATTTGTCGAAAAATTGGTGTGGAATTGATGAATAATTTCAGGAACCTGAGAGCCCTCAGGACGAAAAACTTCAAATTGAAATAGGAATTTTCAGGAATAATGAATCGACATAGATTTTTGATCCGCAAGCGTATATCAGTCCCACAAAAGCAAGCGAAAATCCTGAATGAAAACAGAAATATTGCAATTTTTACGAAAACTGTGAAATACATTCATCACATTGACGGCACCACAGACAGCACAGATTCATGGTAACTCAGGTTCATGGTAAAATAGCAATTCATGGAAAGCGGACGTTCTGGCACACCACCAGAAACTGGTGTAAAGAACACGAAAAAATAAAAGAGAAGAGAGCAGAACCAACCAATGCTGGAAAAAATGAAAAATTGGAAATTATCCAGCAGAGTAGATGACACAGCATACTAAGAATTTATATAATGTAATAGATGTTAGCAGAATTTCTACCGTAATCGCAGTCCCTACCATTCGCTGGTCTCCTATCCTTGAAACTTTTTAGGTGCCCAGATCCGGCCTACTCAGCTTCTAGACGCATGCCATAGAATACTTAAAGTTGGAATATGAATGTTCTCATTTTCTGCCTTCCCCATTCCCTATGACCATTCCTTCGGAATCAATTCACTATGTCGGTTGTGTGTTCGTCCTAGGGTCAAAACCAGACTGCTGATGACCCGTGGCGAGGTGGTCGGTCCGGTTGAATTCGGAAACCAGCTGTGCGGTGTACGTGAGGGTGAGTGTCATGATACGGGATTGAAATAACTTGTGTGCGAGCCCTCGTCACTGAATGAACCTGTTGGCAGTAGAGTCGGGTTCGGGTGGTGGTGGCGGACGAGTGTTTAGACCTGAGCAGAACCTGTCCGCGAGTGATAAGCAGGTCGTAGTCGTTTTAGTTGTAGAGACCGGGGGTGGGGTTTGTTGGGGTCAAAACGGGCGTTGCGGCAACTAGTAGCCGCGGCGAGAGCAGGGAGCCGGGTTGGCGGTCACCCGGGTGGCGGTCGGCCGGCCAGCCAGCCCTAGCCAGCCGACCGACCGATCGTCAGAACAGGCTTACCTGAATGTCCGGTCTGGTTGTGTGTGTGTCGTGGCGCCGGCCGCGCGGCGGCGATGGCGGTAGTCAGTCGACGACGACGACAACGACGGGGACGCCGCGCCTAGCCAGAGAGCGAATCAGAAGAGACCGCAGAGAGCGTACAGAGAGACAGCCGGCCGCGTGAGACACCGCCGAAACTCGAAAAACCAGTGTGCGCTCCGGTAGGCGGCGCCAAGGCGACGGGCGGCCGGTGGGGGCGGCGCCAACCCGGTCGTCGAATCGTTGTCGTCGTCTCTACGACTCTACCATCAACGTCGTGATCTGAGTTCTAGTGATGTCGAGCTGTGTCACGACAACCGCCGGCAACCTGTAGAGCGTGGGAATTTCGGGGGGAAACGTGGTGTCAAACCACGCCCATCCATTGAAGCTCGGCCAAGTGCTAGCCCGAACGAGAGTCCTGATATTATATCAAGTTTTGCAACGTTTGCACAACACGATGAACTCGTTCTGCCGACACACACACGCACACAAACCGGGGATTCCACCGGGGAAATGATGTCACCAAGGAGGTCGTTGATGAACCTAAAAGAAAGAGAACAAGCCAAAAGATACTTTCCGTGAAAGATAGAGGCAATCAATGAAAGAACTCTGAGTACTGTAATCCAAGGAAAAATGTAATCGCTGCTCTGACTCACCACAACCCTTTAATCATGGACTGCCACGAACTCGTTCGATTCGGATGGCTTTGATTGGAATTTATGGGTTTCTGTTGGGAATTACTGAATGTTTAAAAACCTAACGCATTACAGGACGAACACTGCCAAATGGGAAACGGAGGATTACGATGGCTGAAATCTTTGAGGCAGCCCATAATCTAGCGGTACTGCGTGGGGTCTTCTAGACTAAAAAAATACTCTTTTCCTACGGGGGTTACTCGCGATGAACCGTTCAGTGCCTCCTGTCGATTCAGTGATTTACTACGATGCTTACTTGATTACAGCTCTAATTGCAGATTTGTATAGTTGAAAGATTAAAGGCAGGAGCGCGATCGTTCGGCATTCACATATTAGACTGAGACGTTCGCATATAGACGAGTAACTGGTTCGAGGTGCATTCGATAGTGAGAAGAACGCCCCATTTCGATCCCAGCTTGTACATGCCCAACTAACTCCATTTCCAACAGTACGCCCTCATCCGCACATATAATTTCCCCCATACGAACTGTTCCACCTGGCCACAATTTCCATGCTTTTTCGTTCTGCAGCTTCATTTTTCATTGAAAGTCGGGCCTCGAAGGCGGAGTCTGTAGGCGAAATCACTGGAAAAAAGGAGGTGTTACTGAACTTATATTGCGTTATAGCGCCTCTCCACTACAATTTCATTGTCGCGAAAACCGATTACAAGGTCTGTCTCGTCGCGCGACCACGCCTACCCCTTCCCAAATCCCATTTTCTCAACTTCTATTACCTGAATCGCGTGCCTTTAATCTATCCTTTAAACTCCTACAACAGAAGTAGGTATTTTCTCCCGCACGGCATGTGAACGGCGACTTCGGGGAGATAAAGAATACCGCCGAACACTGCTTGCATTCAGTTAGGAACCTAGCTTCCACCAATTCCACCACATGGATACAGCAGCAGCGCCAGTGACTATGGGAAGGAAAATGAAGGGGCTTTCTGTGCAAAACTAGGATTAACAGTATCCGAATAGAATTGCCGTATGTACTTGAAGTTCGTTTACCCACTCCGGCAGGCATCAAGCGCCTGATTAGCCTGTGGTAGGAATAGGGGCGTGTGTGCAGTTATCAATAATTTGCAGAGTACTGGCGAAAACAACAATAGTGAAACTTTGCCCTTGCATTTGTGCCTAGCCGTGGAGTGCGGCATCTTCGTCGAGTTGAAATTTATGACAATTTAAGATAAATTAATTCACTGTGACTGAAACTGCAACATAGAAGGGAGTCACGTTTCTATGAAAGCGGCAAGATCCCTGATGGGCTCAGAGTGGTGTTTGGTTCACATAAGGGCTACATTCCTTACATATTTCTACGCTGTAGTTCTGAATGGAAGACAAATGGGATGTGTGGCGCATTCCATGGAGTAGTTTAACAACGTCTCTAAGCTTCAGTTCCCATTTGTCATTTGAAATAGGTGTATCGAAAGTCTTCCGAAGTTTCTGGAAGGGAATAAGGGCTGATAGCTGGAGGACTTTCTTATTACAGCTGAAACAAACCCTCAAAGCAGAAGTCGCGACGGGGAGATACTTCGCTATAGTAAACCTA